ATAGATTAGAAACGCATGTGCAAACATGTTAATGTCAATTGCATTAAAAACGAATTTTTCTGTATGAAACTCTGTATTTTAATAATGAAATAGAGATCTTTTTTAAAGGTTAAAACCTCATTTAATGTTATGTCTTACAGGGTTTATACTGAGTACAATATTGTATAACTGTAATAATTCAACTGTAAACCTAAAAATTATAGCCAATTTTGAAAGGGATGCATCTTAGCTCTGGAAATTGTTATTGAATATGTCAATGCTGTTGTAATGAAATGTTTCTGCTAATTATATGGTTATTAAATGAATAATTTAAAATAAAATAAAAGGGGGAAAAAAGAAGCAAGATATGTCACTGCTCTGCAGGACCTGGTCTATACCTTCTCCTCTCACTAAACTCAGACCTACAAACTGATGCCTTTCTCTTTGTGAACACACCTTGTTCCCACTTTATAGCATTGTCCTTGTGGTTACCATTCTCTGAAAAGCACTGAGTCTAGATCTTCTCACAATGCGTTCTCCTTGTCCCTTAGTCGCAACCCACATATCATCTTAAAGAAGTCTTTCCTAACTCCTCAGTCACTCCAGATCACATGTTACTACTCAGAGAAATGAAATGACCACCTAACACTAGTGGATTTCTTTGTTATCTACCTCTGCCACCTACCAGTCCTGAAGCTTGAACCAGACTTCCTTCTTCTCTACTTCAATTCCTATCTCAAACCAGAAACATGGTTTTGTCCTCTCAAGCTCAAGCCCAACCAACAAGTCCTCCCAGAGCTGCTGCTTCTAGCCAGCCTCTGGCTGCATGACCATCTGTTACCTCGGACTGCCCCCAAAGAATCTTCAGAGCTCCCTTAGCCACTCCTGCTTGAACTCAACACATCTGTGACTTCCCAGGGCATTGAGATTATGGTTCACATAATCTCACCAGGATTGACCAAAATGAGGCCCCTCCCACCTCTTCAGAGCTGCCTTTGATGCCTGTCCCTCTTATCCTCCATGCTCAAACTACACAGGCCATTCTGCTCCTCAGATGTGTGATACTCTTTCCCTACCCTGTTTCTCACTCAAGACTCTGGGCAGAACCCCTGCTGTCTCTCTCTTTTGATGGCACCTTCCTGTATATATTTCAGATTTGGAGTTTAAAGGTCTCTTCCATAGGAAAGAGTTCTCTGACTCCAAGTCTGGATTAAGCTTCAGGAATTATGAGGTTTGCATCACCCCAACCTCTTTCCAGCATCCCAGAATGGGCATAGCATGAACACATAGGGGTGAGGGGTTGTATATTCTTACAGGGAAAGAATGAACATGTGAAAGAATGGGTTAATAAGCCAATGTAACAAGAAAACTCAGGGGCATGAAAGAGCAGTGTGAAACTGCAGTCCAAAATTTACTCTCAAGTTTTATCTACAAGGATGGCCCCTGATCTGTGGGGACAGAGCCCCGATTAACTGACCAATTTCAGCATATGAGTTTCTTTTCAGAAAACTGCTTTCCATTTAGTAGTCAATCTCTGAGAATATGCTTTTGGGTTTATTAAAGCACATGTGTAACCATCAAACAATGTGACCTGTTTTCCTGGTCTAATTTCATTCTATTGTGATGAACACCATGACAAAAAGCAGCTTGGGGAGGAAAGGGTTTATTTGGCTTACACTTCCCAGGTTATAGTTATCATGGCTACAAGTCGGGACAAGAATCTGGAGGCAGGAATCATAGAGGAACAGTGCCTGCTGACTTGTTCTCTGGTTTGCTCTCAGGCTCAAACTTAGCTAGCTTTCGTATACAGTCCAGAACTACCTGCCCAGGGATAGCGCCACCCACATGGACTGGGCCCTCCTGAATCAATTAATAATCAAAACAATCCCTCATAGACATGTCCACAAATTAACCTAATCTAGGCAATTTCTCAACTCAGGCTTCTCCTCTCAAATGACACATAAGTCTTACCAGGACACTCCACAGACTCAAGAACAGTGATACAAGACAGCCAGCTTTTAATCTGCATGTGTTTTTGAGATTTAGAGTACTATTCAAATAAGGACCATAAAACTTTAGACAGAAAACATAAAAAGCACTCAATAGATAATCTAAAACAGACACTTCACAGATTCAGGAACCTACTTCCTACACTCTAGACATCTATCCAAAGAAGTCTCCATATGCACACTTGAGTCCTCTCCCTTGAGGATAGAACAGGTCCTATGACCCAAGACACTAAGACAAAACTGATTTAGTAGCAAAAGAGACATTTTAGATGCCCCTCAAAGGGCAGGTACACATATAAACAGAATAATGAAACTGGTAAATAAGTTCTGTTTGTTAGATTTTCTGAACAATAGGGGGCCATTCTGGGTGTCTAAAGACATCTCAGAAACCATGAGAAGCTGAAGGAAATCTGTACATTTGGTAACACTGCTCTGTCTTGCCTAGACAAATAACAGGCCAACTTAGTTTCACTCAGATACTCTTGGTTGAATCATATAAGAATTGCCTTTCATCTCCTGGCAAAATTCAGTGCTATTTAGTCACATTAAAACCCAAGGCATATTGTACTTTGTCCTTTAACCAGAAGATTACAATAGGTAGAAGAGTATTAATAAACGTATTTATAATAAAAAAGTAACTTCCCAGTGAAAAATAAACAAGACAATGGATTATTTATTTTGTGCTATGCTTTACCAATGTTCTGAATGATGAGAAGAACTTCCATTATATACCTGTAAATACAGAGACAAGCTGGAATTTATGCCTTTTGTAGTTTATTCCCAAGTAGAACATTGCCAATACTGTCATCTATAGAATGTGCGCTTTGTATGTTTGTGATTGTGTCTGGGTCAAATCTGCACATAGCTGAACCCAATACAAATGTTTCTCTCTCTTTTCACTGGCCTTTCAGGAAGTATAATGGATAAACTAGAGCTTGTAGTTTGACGTCACAAAGACTTGGGGTGTTTTTTTTTTTTTTAATTTTGTGTGTATGAGTGTATTGCCTGCATGTATGTGAGTGCATCTGTGTCATGCAATGCCATGGAGGTCAGAAGAGGGCTTCAGATTCACTTAGAACTGGAGTTAAGGATGGTTCATAGCCACCTGTGGGTGCTGGGAATCGAACCCCGGTCCTCTGCAAGAGCAGTCAGTGCTCTTAACCGCTGAGCCATCTCTCCAGCCCCAAAGACTTGGTTTTAAATAAACCCATCACCACGCTTCCTAGCTGGATGAATGACTTATTCTTTCCCAGTCTCTGATTTACTATCCCCCTCATACTCACACACCTTGTTTGATTTTGTTTTAGATGAAATCTTGCCATATATCCTAGGCTGCTGGCCTGGAACTCCTGATCATCCTGTCTTGGCCTCCCCAGTGTCAAGAATGCACTACCAGGCTGGGTTCTGTTCAGTCATTTCTAAAATGAGAGCTCTCATAACGAATGAGCAAAGCAATTTCAGACATCGATCCTTTACTGGCTGAGGATCTATTGGAACTAGGGAGGCCTCCCTGCAGCAGTAGGCAGGCAATATGTGTGGCTTACCTCTGCGGCGTACCTCACTCCATCTACCATGTGCTCAGAGCCATGGTCATCAGCTGATCCCCAGTGCAGGTGGAATTGCCGCAACCTGTAGCTTCCAGTGAGAGGACCTCCACGCAGAACTAAACACCAATACATGTGAAATAGTTAGCAAGAAAAATTATATTTACCCATCGTAATCCAGAACATCTCCCTAAACCAATCGACACATCCATGCCCTTACAAATGTATCATTCAGTTTGTGGACAAGGATAAAATTTTACATATGTAAGGAATGAAAACACTATAAACATTTAGAGTCCACAAAGTAGATTTTTATGAAACACATAGGAAGTCATAAGACACATTCAGGTAGAAAATAGAAGAGATTAGGATTTACAAATGTGAAAATCCACTGCTTAATTGAGAGGAAGCCTGACTCTGTGAATAAGAATTTAAAATGAAAATAGGTCCAGTGTAATCTTGAGAGAGCCAAACAGCTGTATGTTTAGGCACAGGCTCTGCAACTGGATGATCAGGGCCTGGATTTTCTATTACTGTAAAGATCTTAGGCAAACTCTAACTTCTAAGCTGATACTTACATAGCTAAACACTGGGGAGAGTGATGGGACCTCCCTGATCCTGTAATGAAAGCAGAAGTGGAACAACAAGTACTTCCCAAACCCTGGCACATAGCAGCACTGTGGGCATGTTACCCATTGCTACTAGGATACTGCTTAAAGTCTGTATTTATAGAGAAATGTAAAATATAGGAAAAATATTGAATTATTTTAAAGATCTAGTACATCTGCCACCTTGAAAAAAAAGTACATGTCAGTGTTTTCCCTCAACAAATTTCATCTCTATAATTATGATAAGAGAATTATGTCTCAACTGAATGGAAACACGTTTTAAATACTCAACAGTCCCAAACTATTGTAATGACACACATCTGTAATCCCAGCAATGAGAAGACTGAAATAGGAAGACTGAGTTCGAGGCCAGCCATGGCTATATAGTACTGCCTCAACATACACACAAAAAAAGGAAGAAAGAAAGAAAGGAAAGGAAAGGGAAGGAGACCAGGGTTGAGTTGAAGGAAAGAAGAGAGGAGTCGTCAACTATTTCCCCTAACTGAACCCTCCCTGGCATGCTGCATGTGCAAGGCAGCATCAGATGCCAAACACACCATGAATATCATCAAACTTCCATCAGCATACAGCAGAATTGTGTTAGATTGGTGTGATGCAGACTTATCAACAGGCTGATTTAAACTACTCTCCTCTTCATAGATTACTGTCAGTTTTTTTTTCTTTTAAAACTCTTTTTTTTGAGTTTTTAATTTTTTGAGAATTTCAATAGACTCAAATTTTTCAAAACTATCCACTTATATAAAAAGCATTTGGGTCCAGATTTCTTTACACACAGGTGGCTATTTTCAAAGCACTTTGAACAATAATAAGAAGAAACAACCACTTAGATCAGACCAAGGGTTTGCTCTGCATTATTCTGTGAAATGCAGAATGACTTTCCTGCTTATCCTCCCACTGGTCTGTACTCATAAAAGCAGAGGCTGGGTTCCTGCTATTCCTACCACCCAGCATAGTAACTATCAAAGGAGATGCAAACAAAATATGTGATGAAATATCTTATTTCTCTTAATCAGTTTCAATATGCTTTCCCTAAGTGACGCTAGTAGTCTGTGTTCGTTACACAGCCTGCATTGACTGAGGATAAAAACAGTATCTGAAGGAGAAAAAGTCAAGGACTCTATTGTGCTTTTCTTCCTTGTTGTTATATAATAAAATCTGAGCTGGAGGAAAAGTCATTCCCTTGTAGATAGAAAGGAGATTAGAGAGCTTGAGTAATCAATGTGGAATTGACTTTGGGAGAATATGCAGGCGAGTTGGCTCTGGAGAAAGAACGTGATACAAAAATCACACATTGTTAGGGAGACACCCAAGAAGAATGGCGGCCTCTCTGAGTTCATGGTTAAAATCAGACTAGCCAGGTTCTACCTGGTTAAGCAACATAATTGTTTTATGGGTTACATATTCAGACTCCACACTTCAGTGTTTCAATAAAGCATTCAATTGGGTTTATGACTGGCAAATGCTTGAAAACAATCCTTGCCCTTCAAAAACAATGAATGCCCTTCTAAAGAAGCAGACTAGGGAAAAATGAGCTCAAAATATCTTGGTATGCACCAGTTTTGAGATGACACAGATAATCCATGATAAAAAATTAATAATGGTAACAATTATATATATATATATGTACATATGTATATGTATTTATTTTTGGCTTTTGAGATAAAGTCTTGCTTCATTGGCCAGGCTAGCTCACGATCCTTCTACCCCAGCCTCCCAAGAGGAGGGATCACAGATTTGACACAATACTGGGCAAAGCAATAATTATTTTTAATGAAAATAATTTTGTCTTTTCGCATGCCAAATTTTATTCCACTTTCCTTCCTAGACAAACTACAGGCTCTGCTTTATGCTTTTAAACAAGTAATAATTTCTCTAAAGTTGTGTTTGGCATTATTTACTTTTTCGTTTAGAATTTCTGAAAAGAAATCTCTTCCAATAATACACTCATGTGAGAGGTCAAAAGACACCAACTTGGCAGTTAAAACACAGTATAGAAAGTTCTGGATAGGACAATCTCAGAACACTGTGGAAGCCACAGCAGGGGTGGCAGGGTTAGTCAAGTGGGCTTCCCAGAGTAGGGAGATCTGTGTCCAGAAAGACAAGTATCTGAAGTGATAGTTTACCTGTCATCCCCTATCAGGATTCTATTTCCCCATCCAATTCATCCACATCCAGTATAAATTTTTTCCTAAAGAATTTCATATCCTTTCATCCCCTTTCAATGACTATTAAAATTCTGAAAAGTGGATGCCTACAGGTTAGTCAAGGTGCAGGTATGCATCTGCCCAGTTAAACAAACCCCTTCAAGGATTAGGAGAATGATTGTGTGCCTGTGGTATGCTGACTGATAACATTTAGTTAATTTTGATCAATAATGGATTCTTGGGGCTAGGGAGATGGCTCAGTGGGTAAAAGCACTTGCTGTGCAAGTATGTTCAAACCTGAGTCAGTACTCATGTTTTTAAAAAGCCAGGCATGGTAGCAGGGCACCTGTAACCCTAGTGCACGGGTTATGGGTGTAGAGACAGGAGGATTGCAGGGGCTTGCTAGCTATCAGCCTAGCTCAAGAGTTAGTGAAAGACTGTCTCAAATGAGTAAGGAAGAAAGGGGAGGTGGGGAGAGAAGAGGGGCAGGAAGAGGAGAGGGAGAGAGAAAGAACAGAAACGTGAATTATCACAGATCAAATGTAATTGGGGATTATATCCACTATGAATACTCACATTTATAAAGAAAATGCTTGAAGCATAATCTCATCGCTTCTTATTCTAATATTAGATGTGATTAACCTTAGTATTTTTATGTTTAAAATATTAAAAATGTCCTACTACATATATGGGTGGCATCAACTTTATATTTAGAAACTTTGAACTACCTTTTCAAGTTACCCAGTATATCAACCACATCTATTAACAGATTCACAAAATGGTAAAGCCTAGAAGAAATAAAATGAATACATATAAAAAGACAGGTCTTCCCTCTCGCCCTCACACAAAAAGAGTAGCAAATATGTTAATTTTCTTTATACATTTTTTTTTTTTTTTGTCTTTTTGAGACAGGGTCTCCTTGTAGCCCCAGCTGTCCTGGAACTCACTATGTAGACCAGGCTGGCCTCGAGCTCACAAAGATCCGCCTGCCTCTGCCTCCCAAGTGCTGGGATTAAAGGCGTGCGCCACCACACCCGGCTCTTTATGTATTTTTGTAATGATCTAAAAAATGTATCATTGCTAAAAATTGACAAACATGAAGAAGAAATTTGTATAGGTTTACAGTGTTTATTAACAATAATGCTCTTACTTAAATATAGGGCATTATGATCTCAATTACAAATTCATGAACTAGATGTTTAAATTTTATAAATCCTTAATGAGAAGCCAGTGAGATGGCTCAGCAGGTAAAAGCATTTGTCACACAGGCCTGACAACCTGAGTTTGCTCTCCAGGACCCACATGAAGGTAGAAAGAGAGACTCCACAAAGTTTCTTCTGCCTCTACATGTGCTCTGGCATGTACACACACACACACACACACACACACACACACACACACACACATTTTAAATTCTTAACAGCAATTTACATGTTTTCACATATTTGCGCTTAGCTATTTTTTTTTTCAAGAATACAGCATCATCAGTGCTTGGCAGGAGGTGTGCATGAGGAGGTACTCAACATCCATTTTAAGGAAACACTATTTTATTCTCTTTTTACTTGATGAACTAATAAGTAAGCTAACATTTTACTTTAAGAATCAACTATTCACATTGTGAAAAATGTGACCCCATGAACAAATCAAACAAAATTTTTATTACAAGCAGCAGAAAAGTATAAATAAGGATAGCTATTCCAAATATTTATTTTATTAAAAATTAAATGTTTACTCTCTTTCTGCATTGTAGGTTTGAAATGAATAGCAAAATAATTATGAATAAAACCTTCTAAAATTATTTATGAAATACTACTAAATTTCAATAGTGTTTCACAGTCAAGTAACAGTAACCTCTGATCAATTTTAAGGTTCTGGAGAGGTGGCTCAGTAGTTAAGAGCACTTGTTGCTCTTGCAGAAGACCCAGATTTGGTCCTCAACCTCCATATGGCAGCTAACAACTGTCTGTAACTCCAGTTTCAGGGGATCTGACACCCTCTTCTGGCCTCCATGTGGGCAATGCACATACATGGTACACATACCTGCAGGCAAAAATGCTCATAAATAAAATAAAAATAAATAAATAAAAAATTTTAAAGATCAATTTCAATATATCATTCAGCACACCTTTTTCTATAAAATTTGTATATTATTTTAAGATAACATTACCTTAAGGTCCAAATATATAACAGGACAATTCAATTCATGTTTAAAAAATGCTTCAATTTTGCAGATTCCAGAATGAAGTTAGGAGGTTAAATTCAACCACCCAAAGCCTCACCCCTGACCAAAACAACAGAAAAATAGAACCAACCTGATTTGTCTTCTGTGTCATCAAAGTCAACGTTGAAGGAATGGCCACTATTGCTGATTATTTTAGCTGATGTGGGGTCATACTTGATACTAAGAGGTCGGAGTGAAGAGTCGTATTTCACCTCTTTGGTTTTAATCTCTATTGGAGACTGCTGATCACCATCAGCAATTGGGAAAAATTCATTCCAGTGAGTAGGACCTGAATGCATAGGAGCAAAAGAAAAGGGCTAAATAAGTTCTTTCATTCAAAAAAATCAAAAGTAATAAAACAAAGCTGGAGAGAGAGAGCTCGGTTAGTAAAACACTTGCAACAAAAACATGAGGATTGGCGTTTGCAACCCCAGGTGGGTGTGGCAGCTCACCCATAATCCTAGTACTTGGGAAGCAGAGACAGAGGCTCCCTAGAGCAAACTGGGTAGCTAAACTAATCGAATCACAGAGTTCCAGGTTCGGTGAGAATCCCTGCTTCAATATATAAGGTGGAAAGTGACTGGGGAAGACATTCGACGTGAACCTCTGGCCTCCACATGCATATGCACACATGTGTGCACCCCCATATGTGCACACACACAAACACACACACACACACACACACACACACACAAGCATATCACTCACATACACATTCCAAAAAAAAAAGAAGTTCTTCATTCTCAGGACCCTAGCACCTAATTTTTTTAACAAAACTATTATTTTTATGGATATGGAAAACATTTGATTTATCTTGTCATTTTCAGAATTAAAATGTTCCTTAAACATTAAATGAACATGTTAAAATGAACATGTACATTTCATAAAGTACTTCCCAAAGAGTCCTTTTAAAGGACTAAAACAAGTTAAAACAAAAGCATAATTCATGATTGAAAACAAAGAAATGCCATCTCGGATCCAAGAATGCGTTCTAGCTGCTTCAGAAGGTCAATAAGTTTACAGGATGGACAGTCAAGAAGATGGAAACATTAAGAAAGGCAATCATTCTAAAGATGCTGTCACTATTTCTTCTGTACCATTCACAGGTATCATCTGGTGTCATTCAGGTCTCAGCTCAATTACCTGAGATGTGTGACTGATCTACCCAGTATACACACATAACTTTCACACAAAATAATCTAAATAAAATGTCTATACCATATCAGGAAATGTACATTGTATATAACATATACTTCTTGCACAAAAAGCCATACCATGAATGCATGGCAAGACATTCAACTTAAAAGGTTTCTTTTTAAGAATGAGATACTTTGGACTTCACAGCAATTTAGCATTTAGAGTCCTTAGAAGAACTGGGAATGGTAGTGCAAGCCTTTAATCCCAGCACTCTGGAGGCAGAGGCAGGCAGAGTTCAGAGGCCAGCCTGGTATACATAGTAAGTTTCAGGTCAGCTGGGACTACAAGGACATCCTGCCTCAAAAATAATAAATAATATTTTTTAAAGTCCTTAGAAGATATGACAGGAAAGGCACTACATTTTTTATTAGATATTCTCATTTTTCTTTTTAAATATTCTTCTTTTTAGGATCTTGTCTTCTTGCTTAATATAAAAAAGCTTTACACTTCATGGTCACGACATGTGAGTTAATCTAATGAGAATCAGATTTCAAATACGCAATGTATATATCACAACATGTTGTTGACATTTTTACACCAAGCAAGGAGCTGCTTTCTGTCCTCACCTCTTTCTTCTCTGTCTCCTGGCCCTTTAAAACCAGAACTGTTATTAGAGGAGTCAAACCTAAGGAAAATAAAAACTACTTTGATCAAATAGCCAATTTTATCTACTCACTCCCATCATCTTGCCTCTTAAAGAGACATGCTTATGGAAATTTTCTAGAATACTCAGCTTTAAACTCACTTAAACTTGATTCTTAAGTAGAGCAGCATGGTGGTTCCTGAGTGGTTCAGGAACTTTTGAATATCCATAGACACATAATTTTTAATGTTGCCAAATGGCCTAATCCAGACAAATAAAAGCATCAAAGGTTAGTGGAGAAGGTTACAAGCTGCTAGGGAACATGGTAGCCCTTCCAGAGTTTGCCCTCCTCTTGACCATTTCATCACTGCTGTGCTGCTCAGTTTAAGCTCCCCTTAATCTGCTCAGTTCACTGGTTTTGCCAATGACTGAACAAGAAAAAACAACAAAATTTGCCCAGTCAGGATGCAGCAAATTTCCAATAGAATTTTGCCAACATTAAGCTACTTCAAGGTGTAGTCCTCAGAAAACCACTGCATCTAAAAGGAAGGGACTGCTCTACAAGTCCTAGCTAAGATACAAAATGGCTCCTTGTTAATAACTTTTCTAAAATGAATTTTTAAATTTTCCAGAGAAGAGCTTTATTGAAACCAATATTTTCTTATTTATTAGACTGTAATCTGTACCTATTAACTGACATACCCTTCTTCCTAACCACAGCGAGAGCACGTAATGTCTACTAAATAACAATAAAAATGATCCGTCAGTGGCAAAAATGAAATCTGTCAAATTTGTCTTTCGAAACCATAAATTAGAAACTAATGAAATAAAATATTATAATTATGGCTTCAATCAAAAAGAAATTCACCTAAATTATACCTTTCATTATTAAAATTCCAAACTTCATCTGCCATTTTTAACATAATGTTAGTATTCATAATCTCAAACAAATTACAATTACAATGAGACTTTTCCAATTAAGGCAGGAGGAACACTATGAGTTCCAGGCCAGGCTGGGTACAGAATGAGATCTTGTCTCAATAAAGAAAAAAAAGAGGAAAAGAAAGACACTTCAATAAACATTCTATAAAATTGACTATACAGTACTGTCCAATAATGTACATGCTAATTGAAGTTTTTATATTATCATAATAATTATATTATAGTAAATATATAATCATATTATTCACAGACTCCATTTTGACAGGTTTCTATTACTGTTTTCTTAATACCACTTTGCAATTCTTTTGAATACTCGTTCCTTGAAAGTTTAGTTTAATAGACAAACAAGAAAAATGCTTTATCCCTAATAAATTTAAGAAATAAAGGACGTATCTTATTGCCATGCCTACCAGTAAATACACTTAACACCACATTATGATTTCTGTAATCCTTTCTTGCTAAACTTTAGTCTTTGCAAGAATGAGTATGATAGGAGAGGAAGAAACAGGAGAGAACAAGCCCAAAATACAAGTTCATTTCTCGAAAGTTTATAAAATCTCATCACAAAAGCCCCAAGTAAGCACACAGCTGCGGGAACACTTTTCAGCAATAGACATTAAGAAATTTTCAGAATTTTGACTGTCAAAAAGCCACCTTAATCTTCAGTGTCAGTTTGCAAGTTACTGCGATTTCTTAAATATCCTCTGGTAGACGTCCAGTGACTTGCTTCTCCTTGAACAAAGCAGTTGCAGAACTCAAGTTGTCAGGTTGCCTCTAAGTTTGTCATCTGACTTCTGACCTCTCAGCTTTTCTTGGGACAGTCTGAGCCTTCCAAATGACGGTGAATGAACCCCCTGCCAGCTCCTGAGGGAGCCGGGGACGACCGTCCCCACCCGCAGGGCGCAGCGCTCAGCCAGGCTAGATCCCGGCTTGGCTGGAGCGGGTGCCCGCTAGAGCCGCCCGCGCTGCCCGCCTCACCGTTGTGCTCGCCGTATCCCCAGCTCAGCCGCGCCATAGTCCTAGGTGGATGGTTGCGGAGTGAATGGCCAGGCTCTGGAGCCCTGAGCCGGGTTGGCCAAGCCGGCGGAAGGCGGAACCCCAAGAACCTGAATCCCGAGTCCGGAACAGAGCGGGCACCTGCAGGGGGCGCCCGCGGGTGGAAGGGGGACTCGGAGCTGGCGGAGGCCCCACCCAAGGGTTTCCAAAGGGGGATTTCCGGCCTTCTGAGAAGGCCTGGAGAGGCTTTTCTGGAAATGACTCACCCAGGCTGGAGCTGCTGAGTGGAGGTGGGGATCTTTACAGGGATGTGCAGGGGTCCTTGATGGAGGTGGCAGTGGTGATTACAGATGCACACAAAACAATACTGAGAGCGGTAATAACCACCTAAAACAACACCTGGGAGTTCTGAAGGATCACCACCCGGGCCAGCTCTCCCTGCCCCCACAGCTCCATCCTTCGCGGCCTCCTTTACTCTTTTCTCTAGGTCCATTCTTCTTACTCCAGGACCCCTCTGGCTTGGCTGTGCAGAGAGTAAAGCAAAACCTTCTTGTTGAAACTTGGTCTACTGCCCTTCTGACCATGCAAAAAGGAAGGTTTTCAGATCTTTTCCTGGATGGTTGATGGACTCCTTCTCCAGGAACTGAAAGCAGAAGTAGCCGCAGAGTCTTGCATTACTTCCCTGAAGTGATGAGTGTTCTGGACTCCCAGTGAAAGGAAAGAACTGTGTAACCTTCAGGAGATTATTACTGTTCTAACTACCTGAGGGTTTAAGTTGTGGTCAATTTACAGTGCTGATGCAAACTGCTTCTTTACAGGCAGGAGCCTGACATTAAAAAAGGGTAAGTGGTGAAGTATCATCTCTTCCTTGGCATCCATAGAGCTGCCTCATGGAATAGGAACCCAAGTCCCCAGAAAGCCAAGTGGCAATCACTAAGTTGTTTAGGCACCACTAAATAACAATCCATTGAACTAGTGCTTATTAGTACTCCCTTAAATACCCCATACTGCAGCTTGTCCCTCAGCATAGAAAGCAATAGAACAGGTTTCCAATACAGCATTAAATATTAATCAACTTGATGTTCCCCCTGAATCTCGAAAGTATTGGTTTCTTTTTCCCATATTCTCTGGAAGAACAGAGTTGTTATGCCAGTATAATAAGGGCCAATTTTTAAAAATATTTTATTTATTATTTTTATTTTTGTGTGTATGTGTGTGTGCCTGCATGTAGGTGAGTGCACCAGTGTCTTGCAATGCCCGCGGAGGTTAGAAGAGGCCGTCAGATCCCCTGGAACTGGAGTTACAGACAGTTTTAGCTGCCATGTGGGTGCTGGGATTCGAACCCAGGTCTTCTGCAAGAACAACCAGTGTTCTTAACCACTGAGCCACCTCTCCAGCCCCAAGGGGCCAAATTTTTAAGAATAAAAATCTGACATGTTCACTTTCATCACACAAAACTGTATACAGTTTTTCAAGGGCCAGTCAGGTAAAGCGATTACCCAGAAAGCCTGACCACCTGACTTTGATCTTAGCTAAATGAATGCCTCAGTTCTGCATCAAACCTGTGGGCACAAACATAACTATTGAGGACATAGCTATTCATGGTATCTATGCAGTGAAAGAGACAGTAGAAACTCAAAATGTCATGAACCACCTTTTCCCAGTGTCCTTGTCTCCAGTCAACTGACTCATAACTTATAAATCCAGACAACTTTTCTGTGAGGAACCAAATAAACCCATGTTCACTAACTGAGATGATTTAGCACATCATGGTGAAAAATCCTCTGATATCAGTGTCTGATACCCAATGGCAGTTATTCAATGAAAGGATAAATGAATGAATCAAAATCTTTGAAGAAGTTCTGTCTGGTGGTCTTCAAATGTCTCCAAAATTATTACTTTTATTGTTTAGGTACATTGAATTCTTGGAGCATTCTGTTCACGCTTCCAAAATAACAATCTGTATAACGGGAAAAATTAAGTACCACTCACAGCAGTCTAGTTAGATAACCCAGAGAACAGCCACTGAGCCATCAGCTCTCCGGCTATGAAAAACATGAAGAGGTCTAGGAGTAACTGGAGTGTGTCCTTTGACATAGCAGCTGGAAGACAAAAAGATGCAGAAGAAGGTTACAACATGCAACATTGTTTAGAAAAGAAAAAAGAGAAATAAAAATTGACATGCAAGCTGGGCGTGGTGGCACACACCTTTAATCCAAGCACTTGGGAGGCAGAGGCAGGTGGATCTTTGTGAGTTCGAGGCTAGCCTGGTCTACATAGTGAGTTCCAGGACAGCTGGGGCTACAAGGAGACCCTGTTTCAAAAAGACAAAAAAAAAAAAAATTGACATGCTTCTTTGTAACTTTTTGACAAAACCTTTTGAAGGATAAAGCCACAAATTAACAAAACTGGTTCTTACACAAGGAGAAAGGGAATCTCATGGGATCCCACCTCAAGATGAAGAGCTACAGGCAATTAATGGAGGCTGAGAGAGGGAGAATCAATTCTCTCCAGGGACAAGCTCCTTGAGAGGTTATCTAATCCTAAGTGGGGAGTCCTAAACACAGGTACACATGGGCACCACTAAATGAACTCTATGCATTATACATATATATATGCATATATAACAATAATATAGAAGAAGATAAGTAATTGGGAAGGAGTGGGAGAATACGGGAGGAGTTGGAGAGGGCCTGGGAGGCTTGGAAATAATGCAAATACAATGTTCATGTATAAAATTCTCAAAAATAAAAAAAATTAAAAATAAAATAGGGGTTGGAGAGATGGCTCAGTGGCTAAGAGCCCTGGCTGCTCTTGCAGAGGATCCATGATCAATTCTCAGCACCCACATGGCAGCTAACAACCATCTGTAACTCCAGTTTCAAGGGATATGATGCCCTCTTCTGACCTCCTTGGGCATTGGCACGACATGGGTGTCCTTACATACATTCAGGCAATACACTCATACACATAAAATACAAATAATAAAATTTTTTAAAACAAATACATTTTTAAAAGGAAGAAAGAAAAGAATATAACCTTATACATCACTATTAGGTTTGTTTTGAGGTGAAATGTTGGTTGTATTATTCTGAAAGTATTATTTAAATGTTTTATTAAAATTTATTTATTTTTATTTTGTGTGTATGCGTGTTTTGTCTACATGCATTTAAGTGCACCCCTGTTGTACAATAACCACAGAGGTCAGAAGAGGCCATCAGATACCCTGGAACTGGAGTTAGGGAATGGTTGTTAACCACCATGTGGGTGCTGGGAACTGAACCCCGGTTCTCTGCAGGAGTGGCTAGTGCTTTTAACTGCTGAGCCATCTCTCCAGTCCCTTAATTTTTTATTTATTTTTATTTTATATATATGAATATTTTACCTTCATGTATGTAAATACCTTTTCTGTAGATGCTAGAAAAGGGCCTCTGATGGATCCCCTGGAACTGGAGTTGTTACCAGCCATGTGGGTGCTAGGAACAAAACATGGGACCTCTGCAAGAGCAGTCAGTGCTCTGAACCACTGCATCTTTCCATCCCTCTGAAAGTATTTTTGTCTATATTACAAAACAGAAAATAGTGAACAGATACAGTGGTCCTCTTCAGAACTGTGATGATTATTTTGATTCATAAACATGTGAAGGAGTGGAAGCTAAAAAAAGAATCATCTGGTGTTGGAGTTGAATATTCTGTTCACTGAAAGATACTGAAAGTGACATAGGATAGAAAGAGAGATGATTAAGGAGTCAGAGGAAGAGAAAGGAGCCCCTCACTCAAGACTATGACTGAAGTCTTTTCAGCTGACAGTGAAGAATTCCAACACAGTTAACATTTTCTGGGAAGGATGCTGAAATAAAAACAATATTTCTTTTACATCGAGATGTCTCAAATTAATGCTACAATAGCAATGAACCGTGCTTAAGACCTAAGTGTGTATGACCAAATACTACCTTTTTCCTTTCCCATCTGTAAACCTGAAATTTTCTAGGAATCTCACAAGCAAAACTAGAAACTCTGTTTACATAAAATATATGACTTAACCCTCTTGTGCACTCCTTAGGACCTAAGATTTTCCTTATCAGATTGCAGTCCTATCCAAGCCAGCTCTGGAACTGCCCTATAATCTCATTTATGGAAAAAAAATGAAAAAGAGAAAGAAAAAATTTGTTAACCCTTTGAGATGTAACATGAGAGGTACCAAAACTACTGCTAAGACACTTCTGTGAGACTCTCTGGAGAAACCCACACCCATACTTGGGCACGTCTTCCCCAAAAAAGCTCTCTATTAACCTCTGCCCCTTAAATCTATGTTAAACTTTCTTTCTAATAAATTCCAACTCACTTTCATACTGATTTATTTTTAAATTCTTTTATGAAGCAAAGCCAAAGACTTCCAGCTTCACATGAATAGAGGACCCTGAAAAGAACTACCCCAGTTGCCACAGGTGGCAGCATGGAGCTTGTAGACCATGTCCACCAGCACTGACAAAGCAGTAACTCCCAATCATAAGGAGCTCATAAAATTTAATTACAGTTCCTTATGGTCTCTTTGAAGGTCTTACATATAATTTTATATTTGTGATTCTGTATTCATCTTTTAAAAGTTCCAAAACTGTATTAGCTTCAGACATGACAGTCTGGATCTACCCCTTACTGTGAAACATGAAGCACTAAGATCTTAGTGTCTAAATATCATTTCCCTTGAGAACCATAGCTCCTGGGAAATACGATTGGTTTCAGGTATAGTACCAGGAGAGAACAAAATGCATGAAAAAGAAAGTGCTCATGGGGTTATAGAGCATACACAGTTAAATCACACAAATGAACTAGCTTGAAGGAGGTCCCACTGCCAAAGAAGGACCAACCACACCATCCAAAAAGAATGATGAAGGCCATGGAGGTTGCTCAGCAAGTAAAAGTGCTCTTGCCCCATAAGCTTGATGACCTGAGTTCAGTCTTTCGATCTCATGATGAAAGTAGTGAACTAACTCCTGAAGGTTGTCCTCTGACCTCCATATGTTTGTTGTGACACATTGATGCCTGCATTCACACATATCATATACATACACAATAAATGTTTAAAAAGAAACATTGGTAGTAATAGATCATAACATCCCCCTTAACATCTATGAG